TGAGAGGGAAGGGGTTCTCCCAGAGCTAGGGAAGGATGGTAGAAACCTTCCTAGCAGCAAAGATGCAACCCTCATCATGAGGTCCTTGAGGTGTCACATGCAAAATCCAATCTAGTTGGATTTTGCCTAGGTGTTGCAACATTTGCAACCCATGCTAGAAACTTCTAGCCACCCCAATCCAAAAGTCAAAGTTGCCTTCCCTAACCACCCAACCAAAGATCCCTTTATAGTCATGTCCCAAGTAATCACCCAAATTAGATATAACCCCAAAAGGTAATAAGAAATCCAAGTCTTTGAAATCTTGTAACTTGGGCGATCTTGGTCGGAATAAGGCGATCTTGGTATCGTTGGAAAGCTCTGGATTTCTCCTGCATGATCAAACATTTAGACTTGGAGAAAAACACAGAGATGACAATATCCAACAGCCATGCATAATGACATATGCTCATGCAAATCATGCAAGCACAAATAGCACGAGCACTCGGCAGGACGTTAGGATGACATGCAGTCAGAATGACGTGCATCCAACAAACTCCCCCTCAGACTAACGGACTTCATGCACATATACTCACACAAATGCTAACTCTCATGCACACAATTACACATGCACTCATGACACTGCTGCCCACACTAGTGCAATGCCATGCCACACATCTTAGCACACTTCCAATGTGCGCTCTCGGGAAGTCTCTTGGTGAGAAAATATGCCGCCTGCTTGCTAGCCTTCACATGGTGAAGCTCAACAATCCCCTCCTTCACCATCTGCCTCACCCAATGCCACTTAATCTTCATGTGCTTGTTCAGCCCATTGAGGATAGGATTATTTGCCATGCCAATAGCAGCCTCGCTGTCGGAGAAAAGTGGTGTAGGTCCCTCCTGTTTTGCTCCCATGTCCTCCAGCAGCTTCCTCAGGAGCACGATCTCCTTGATGGCATGGTACATCGCCATGTACTCTGCCTCTCCGGAAGACTGAGCAATCTCACTCTGCTTCTTGGACCTTCAGCTCACTGGTCCACCTCCGACCATGCACACAAAACCGCCAACCGATGTCTGATCCTCATCCTCTGAGGCCCATGTGGCGTCGGTGAAGCACGACAGCTTCAAGGTACCAGGCGTCACCCCATCTGCTCCAATCTGTTTCAGCTGGCCGCTAGCTGAAAACTGAACACCAGCAGATGCCGTTGATCCAAGGTAGTGCACCAAGCGCTTTGCCACCTCCAACTGCTCCACAGTGGGCCGTTGCACAACTCTGGCCAGCTGCCCCACTCCGAATGAAGCATCAGGTCGCGTATGCACAGCTGCATACATCACACTCCCAATGAGTGACTGGTACTCATTCTGCTGCTCATCTGTGAAAATAAGCGAACAGGAATGAATGAACTAGCAGTGAAATGAGTACAAGTAGGAAACCCTAGAATTGTGTACCCCCTATAGGCTAACCCACTGTAGCCTACACAAGCATAACATATATAATGTTTCACACACCCCCATAGGCAAAGTGGGGGAGAACAAGGGGTCACAAGACCAGTCAAGCAAAGCAAAGCAAGCTCAGGGTGGATCACAAAGTCACCACACAGTCCGAGCACAAGAGCAGGGCCAGAGGCCAGTTCACATGCAGGAGTACAGACATATATATAAAACTAGACAAGCAAGAGCAGGTATATATATATATGTCACAGTAGAAGTGAAGTCAAGAGGAGAGCAAGTGAGGCAAGACAGGCACAAGACCCAGCTGGGTGCAAAAGCGCTGATGGTCACAAGGCGCGAGTGCCTTGGTGAACACATCAGCAGTGTTGGCCTTAGAGGCCACGTACGCAAGTCGCATCTGACCACGCTGCTGCAGCTCACGAGCAAGGAAGTAGCGGAGAGCAATGTGCTTCGTTCTGTGCTCCAAGCGCTGCTCTCGACACAAGGCCAGCATGGCCTTGTTGTCTACGTACAGCACTGGAGGAGAACGAGGCGGCTCTCCAAGGTCAGTCAGCAGGTAGGTGAGCCAGCGAAGCTCCTGTGCAGCCATGGCCCCGGCGTAGATCTCAGCCTCACAACTAGAGCCGAGAACCGAAGACGAGCGAGTAGACCGCCACGAGAAAGAGCCGGAACCAAGGCTGAAGGTGTAACCCTGTGACGACCGCTGCGTAGCCTGGTCGTCAGCCCAAGAAGCGTCCGCGTGGCCGGTAAGGACCACTGGACTCCGCCCTCCAAGCACTAGCCCCATGCCCGACGTACTGCACAGGTAGCGCAATACCCTCTTCGCTGCAGCCATGTGCTCTGGTCTGTGTCTCCCAGGAGCAACATAGCGTGCAAGAATGCTCAGAGGGTATGCAAGGTCAGGTCGTGTGCAGGTCATCAGGTACATGAGGCAGCCAACAAGCTCTGCATACGGACCACTCGACTCTACGGACTCATCCGAAGGCAGAGCTGAGAGTGAGTGGCGAGTAGGCAGAGGAGTGGCCTGAGGCGAGGAGTACGTGAAGCCGAAGCGCTGAAGGACCTGCTGCACCATGTGTGACTGAGTCAAGGTAATGGTGCGGCGTGCTCTGTCCCGAGTGATCTGCAAGCCAAGGTAGCTGCACAGTTCACCCAGGTCTGTGCACGTGTGTCTCTTCAGCAGCTCGGACTTCACGTAGGCGAGTCCAGCAGTGTCAGCTGTGGCAAAGACCAAGTCGTCGACGTACACGAGGATGTAGAACGGCAGCAGGGAAGTGTCGGTGCGAAGAAACAGCGACGGGTCAGCAGTAGAAGGAGCAAACCAAGAGCCGCAAGCGTAGTCCTCAGTGTGTCGTGCCACTCACGCGGTGCCTGGCGGAGACCGTAGACTGGCCGTCGGAGGCTCCACTGGGTGCCAGGAGGGAAAGTCCCAGTGAAGCCAGGCGGACGGCGAAGCCAGATCTCCTCGTGCAGGCTACCCTGTAAGAACGCAGTGCTGAAGTCGAGAGAGTGAAGCTCGTAGTCGCGCTGAGCGGCTATGTGCAGCAGCACCCGAAGAGTAGTCATCTTCGGGGTGGGAGAGAAGGTCTGAAAGTAGTCAACTCCCTGCCGCTGACTGAAGCCACGAGCAACGTACCGTGCCTTGAAGACAGGTGGAGAGCCCGGCGGCCGCTTCACCCTGAAGATCCACATGCCACTGACGATGTTCGCCCCAGGAGGGGGAACCGCGTCAACGTAGGTGCCTGTGGACTTCCAGGAAGCCATCTCTGCATCCATAGCTGCCTGCCACTGAGAGGAGTAGGGACCCTCTACGGCCTCCGCGTAAGAACGCGGAGTCGGGATGTCTAGTGCATCCGGGTCTCCCTCAGGGGCAAGCAGTACAGACGCGAGATGAGGTGAAGCAGCCGCTAGACACTATAACTCCTCCTGCCTGTCCTCTAGGACGTCCGTGCCAAGAGCACACTCACCCCCGACGGACGGAGGACAGACAGACGCAGACTCAGCAACAAGACTAGCAGCGTAGTTGAGACGACAGCGAGCAGCAAAGTCGACGAGCTCAGCGACTAGAGCAGACGCAGTAGTGGACTCAAAAGAGGGGTCAGTGACGACAGTAGCAAGCAGACGCGTGACAGTAGGACTGGCAGCACGAAGAGAGTCCGACTCAGGGTCGGCAAGCGCAGGAAGAGAGGACTCAGGAGGAGAAGGCAAAGGGGCACGCAGAGTAGCAGTGGACGGACGCAAAGACATCCGGTGCGTGCCAGGGACAAGAGGAGGACGCTGACGCGAACTGCGACCACTAGCGCGAGCAGCACGAACAGGCGATGCGGGACGAGACGCAGGCTCACGACGCTCAGCAAGACCTCCAGTAGGACCAGTTTAAGGAGAGGGAGCAGGCAGTGGAGAGGAAGGCTCCAGCAGGGACTGCGACTGGACAGGCGGTGGACCCTCTACTGGAGGAGAAAGACCAAGAACCTGCTGCAGGAGCGGAACGAGGTACGGTCGAGGCCGCGCGGCAGCTCCAGACTCAGCAGTGACAGCACCAGCACCCTCAGCAACAGCACCAGCGCCACCCACACCTCCAGCGGCAGGACCAACAGTAGTAGGCTCAGCACCAACGCCCTCAGCAGCTCCAGCTCCAGGAGGACCCGCAGGTCCAGCAGCTCCGGGACCGGCAGCACCCGCACCCTCGACGGTCGAAGAAGCTCGAGCTCCAGCTCCAGCAGCAACTCCAGACTCAGCAGCACGCCTCCAGCGGCGAGCGAACCACTCGCGCAGCTCCTGTGGAGAGAGGGGCTCCCGGCGAGACGCAGCAGCAGGAGAAACCTCAGGCTCAGCAGCTCCAGACGCAGCACCCCCAGTCTCAGCAGCTCCCAGCTCAGCACCCCCAGGCTCAGCAGTTCCCGACCCAACACCCCCAGACCCAGCACCTCCAGGCACAGCACCCCCCGGCTCAGCACCCCCAGGCTCCGCACCCTCCGCAGTAGCACCCCCAGGCCCAGCACCCCCAGCAGTAGCACCCCCAGGCTCAGCACCCTCGCGCACAGCACCCCCAGAGTCAGCACCCCCAGGCTCAGCACCCGCAGCAGCACCAGAGTCACCAGTAACCTTGACCGGGTCAACGGCGTCTACCTGGGACACACCTGAGGGGGCAGGAACCTGAGGGGGGAGGGGGTCTACCGGGGGGGGAACCGGCACAAGGAAGTCCGGGGGAGGGGGGAGGGAAGGAGTGCGGTAGGGGAAGAGACGGTAGAAGGGGACTGACTCATCGAACGTGACGTCCTGGGAGGACAGAACACGACGAGAGGAGGGGTGGTAAAACTGCCACCCTGGGGCGTCAGTGGGGAAGCCAAGGAAGACACAGGGAGCAGCACGAGGGGACAGCTTGTCCGCAGACAAGTCGCGGACAAACGCCCAAGATCCCCAGACACGGAACACAGACGCATCGCCAACCTTCCCCGTCCACAGCAAGGCTGAGGACATCGCAGGCCGAGAGACCCGGGGGTGAAGGTTGAGCTGATGCGCCGCGTACCTCACCGCAAACGGCCACAGAAAATGGGGGGCAGCCGCATGCATCATGGACACGCAGGGGCACGCAGAGGAGCAGTGGACGGACGTAAAGACATCCGGTGCGTGCCAGGGACAGGAGGAGGACGCTGACGCGAACTGCGACCACTAGCGCGAGCAGCACGAACAGGCGACGCGGGACGAGACGCAGGCTCACGACGCTCAGCAAGACCTCCAGTAGGACTAGTGTAAGGAGAGGGAGCAGGCAGTGGAGGGGAAGGCTCCAGCAGGGACTGCGACTGGACAGGCGGTGGACCCTCTACTGGAGGAGAAAGACCAAGAACCTGCTGCAGGAGCGGAACGAAGTACGGTCGAGGCCGCGCGGCAGCTCCAGACTCAGCAGGGACAGCACCAGCACCCTCACCGACAGCACCAGCGCCACCCACACCTCCAGCGGCAGGACCAACAGCAGTAGACTCAGCACGAACACCCTCAGCAGCTCCAGCTCCAGGAGGACCCGCAGGTCCAGCAGCTCCGGGACCGGCAGCACCCGCACCCTCGACGGTCGAAGAAGCTCCAGCTCCAGCTCCAGTAGCACCTCCAGACCCAGCAGCACGCCTCCAGCGGCGAGCGAACCACTCGCGCAGCTCCTGTGGAGAGAGGGGCTCCCGGCGAGACGCAGCAGCAGGAGAAACCCCAGGCTCAGCAGCTCCAGACGCAGCACCCCCAGGCTCAGCAGCTCCCAGCTCAGCACCCCCAGGCTCAGCAGCTCCCGACCCAGCACCCCCAGACCCAGCACCGCCAGGCACAGCACCCCCCGGCTCAGCACCCCCAGGCTCCGCACCCTCCGCAGTAGCACCCTCAGGCCCAGCACCCCCAGCAGTAGCACCCCCAGGCTCAGCACCCCCGCGCACAGCACCCCCAGAGTCAGCACCCCCAAGCTCAGCACCCGCAGCAGCACCAGAGTCACCAGTAACCTCGACCGGGTCAACGGCGTCTACCTGGGACACACCTGAGGGGGCAGGAACCTGAGGGGGGAGGGGGTCTACTGGGGGGGGAACCGGCACAAGGAAGTCCGGGGGAGGGGGGAGGGAAGGAGTGCGGTAGGGGAAGAGACGGTAGAAGGGGACTGACTCGTCGAACGTGACGTCCTGGGAGGACAGAACACGACGAGAGGAGGGGTGGTAAAACTGCCACCCTGGGGCGTCAGTGGGGAAGCCAAGGAAGACACAGGGAGCAGCACGAGGGGACAGCTTGTCCGCAGACAAGTCGCGGACAAACGCCCGAGATCCCCAGACACGGAACACAGACGCATTGCCAACCTTCCCCGTCCACAGCAAGGCTGGGGACATCGCAGGCCGAGAGACCCGGGGGTGAAGGTTGAGCTGATGCGCCGCGTACCTCACCGCAAACGGCCACAGAAAATGGGGGGCAGCCGCATGCATCATGGACGTACGAGCGACATCCATGACCATGCCAATGCGGCGCTCAGCAATCCCATTTTGTTGTGGTGAGTCCGGAAGCGTGAAGGTCTGGCGGATCCCCCGTGCACGACAGTAGGCTCGCAGAAGGCGAGAAGAGAACTCTCCGCCTCTGTCCGAGTGCAGACGCAGAACAGGAAAGTCCGAGCCGAAGCTCTTCCTGAGCTGGAGACGAGCCTCGCGGATCCAGTCGATCAGCACCTCAGTGACCGCACCCTTGCTGCGCAAGGGGAGGACTGTGGTGTAACGCGAGTAGTCGTCAACCACCAACAGGAAGTAGCGCTCGTGACCCTGCCCACGGACGGGGGCTGGGCCCCACACATCCATGTGAAGCGTGTGCAGGGGAGCCTCTGTCGGGGGGAAGTGGGAGGGGTGAGGACTAGCCCGGAGGCGACCCTCGACACAGGGGATACAGGAAGGTCCTGGCCCGGAGGGGAGAGGAGGGAGAGACTAGGGAAGACCAGAGCCAAGGACACGGGAAGCCATGCTCCGAAGACGGGGCAAGGAGGGGTGGCCAAGACGGTGGTGCCACAGGAGAGTCTCGTGAGACAGGAGGCGACAAGAACAGGGGGCAGACTCAGGACCTGACCGGGACGCAGCAGCAAGCACCTGACCTGACGCAGCTACCTGACCGGACGCAGGGACAGGAGGAGACGAAGTGGTCAGGGTGTAGAGACTCGACCCCGGCCGACGCGAGAAGGTGGCCAGGTGTCGGCCTGTGCGTGCGTCCGTGCAGTGGGTCACCCGCTGACTCGCAGGAGTGAACTGGTGAACCCCCGCATCCTGCAGGGCTGCACCACTCACCAAGTTCGTAGAGAACGAGGGAAGGTACAGACCAGACAGGGTGCCCGAAGGGGCAGCCGGACACGGGAGGACAGTGGAGAAGTGAGACAGGACAGGACCCCGAGAGGGGTCAGCAAGGGAGACTGCAACCGGCCGGCCGAGCGGCGTAAGGGTAGTGCGGTCTCGAAAGAAGGAGCGAGAAGCCCCGGAGTCAAGTGTGAAAGTGAGGGAGGACGAGGACGACGCAGTACCTGAGAGCGCAGTCTCACCAGTACCTGAGAGCGCAGACGCACTGGCACCTAGAGCAGCAGCCTCACAAGCACCTAGCGCAGCAGTACCAATGCCCGGGTCGGGCTGGAAACACCGGTAACCCTCATTCTCCTCACTATAAGTCATAGCATACATAGCAGCAAGGATAGCATCAAAATCAAGATCAAAGATCGCTACACCAGCCCTAAGAAGCTCATCCCAGCGAGGGATCTCACTAGCCCCAGGGAACTGCTGACGCCAAGCGTCCGTCAGGCGGCCAAAGCAGCGCTGGGTGGCGTGGGCACCCCCACACTGCTCACCCGCGCGGTCGCCGGAACGAAGAACGTAGGTGCAGGGACCAGTACCCCCACCCCTCTGACGCCCAGCGTACCACTCACAAAGCTGCTGAGGCGGAGGGATGTCCCGCGAGCGCTGCTGCTGCTGCCGCTGCGAGCGCTGGCCACCACCACCGCCGCTACGCTGCTGGGTACCACCCCGACCAGCTCCACCTCCTCCACCACCACCGCCTCCTCCGCTGCCGCCTCCACCGCCTCCACCTCCGCCGCCTCCACCTCCGCCGCTGCCTCCACCACCACCGCTGGCACCACCACCACCGTCTCCGCCGCTGCTACCACCACCACCACCACCCCCGCCACTAGTCCCGCCGCCACCCCCACTCCCTCCGCCGCCACCGCCGCCACCGCCACCGCCCCCTCCAGCTCCACCCGCGCCCTTGCCCCCCTTGCCCTTGCTGGAGCGACGTCTCCCACTAGGGGCAGACGCCGCGCCGACCGACTCAAGACCAAGCAGGTCGGCAGTAGCAGCAGAGGCAACAGAGGGCAGCAAGGGGGAAGGAGAGCACCCCTCAAAGATGGGGGTGCGAGGGTCACCACGAGAAGCACCTACAGCGACTATGCTCTTCTCCGCTGCGAGGAGGGCCTTCTCGAGGAGGTCGACGGTGAGGGTGGTGGGACAGACTGCGAGAAAGTGGTCCCTGACGACGCGAAGGGAGTCAGGGAGGCGCGCGACTACGTAGTAGAGAGCGATGTACATGGGGGGGGGGGGGGGTTCTTAGCGCAGAACTCAGCAGGAAGGGCGGCGCGGTAGCGAGTGTCACTAGTGCGGAGGTGCGTAATAAGGTCAGCGACAGTGGGAAAGGCAGAGAGGTCAGGAAAGAGGTAGGGAAGCATGAGACGGCTCAGTGCAGCAGTGGCAGGGGAGGAGTAGCGCGCAACTACAGCGTCGTACAAGGTCTGAGCACTCTTGTACTGACTAAAGTGCGCACGCTCAGAGGTAGGGAGGTGGCGACGCACAGCAAGACGTGCAGCAGCATCGCGGGTGGCCCACTGAGAGCGGACAGTGGGATCAGCATCAGCAGCAGGAGCAAGAGAGGCGCCAGAGGTGAGGTCAAAGAGAGAAAGGCCGTCAGCCCTGTCGCACTGTAAGAACAGCTGCAGGTCGTCTAACCAGACCTCAAAATCAATGGCGCGACCCTCAGCGTCAAAAGCTAGGACACTAGGGGTAGCCATGGCGACGACAGTGACGCAGTGCAAGCAGTAGGGAAAGAGCTCGCAGTGACAGTGGGACTGTGCTCACCAGGCAGGGCAGGTCGTGCAGCTCTGTAGAAAGGCGGCTCGGCGACCGGGCGGCTCGGGTGCACAGCGGCTCGGCTCCCGGGCGGCTCGGCGGAAGGGCGGCTCGGGCGCAGGGCGGCTCGGCTCCCGGGCGGCTCGGGTGCAGGGCGGCTCGGCTCCCGGGCGGCTCGGCGGCAGGGCGGCTCGGGTGCAGGGCGGCTCGGGTCCCGGGCAGCTCGGCGACTAGGCGGCTCGGGCGTTGGGCGGCTCGGATCCCGGGCGGTTCGGCTGCTCTGCTGCCCGACTGCTGCAGGTGTGGCGGCGGGGCCGCGTGAGAGAGCCGGGGCGGGGACGCGTGAGGGCCGGCGGCGGGGCCGCGTGAGAGCCGGGGCGGGGCCGCTTCAGAGCCGGCAGCGGGGCCGCAAGAGAGCCGGGTAGGGGCCGCGTGAGGGCCGGCGGCGGGGCCGCGTGAGAGCCGGGGCGGGGCCGCTTCAGAGCCGGCGGCGGGGCCGCAAAAGAGCCGGCGGCGGGGCCGCTTGAGAGCCGGGGCAGGGGCCGCGTCAGGGCCGGCGACGGGGCCGTAAGAGAGCCGGCGGCGGGGCCTGGAGAGGGCCGACGGCGGGGCCACGTGAGAGCCGGGGCGGGGCCGCAAGAGAGCCGGCGGCAGGGCCGCGTAAGAGCCGGGGCAGGGGCCGCGTAAGAGCCGGGACGGGGCCATGGAAGAGCCGGGGTGGGGCCGCGAGAGAGCCGTCGGCGGGGCCGCGTGAAAGCCGGGGCGTGGCCGCGCGAGAGTAGGCGGCGGGGCCGCGTAAGAGCCTGGGCGGGGCCGCGACAGAGCCGTCGGCGGGGCCGCATGAAGGCCGGGGCGGGGCCGCGTAGGAGCCAGGGCGGGGCCGCGTGAGAGCAGGCAGCGGGGCCGCGTAAAGGCCGGGGCGGGGCCGCGACAGAGTCGGCGGCGGGGCCGCGTGAGAGCCGGCGACGGGGCCGCGTAAGGGAGGGCGGCGGGGCCGCGTCAGTGGAGGCGGCTGAGCCGCAGGGGAAAAGGTGACCCGAGGGGTCGCTAAAAAAAATCGTGCCTCGGGGCGCGCTTCGGTGGGCCCAAAAAAAACGGTCCTTAGAAGGACCCGCTCTATACCATGTGAGAATAAGCGAACAGGAATGAATGAACTAGCAGTGAAATGAGTACAAGTAGGAAACCCTAGAATTGTGTACCCCCTATAGGCTAACCCACTGTAGCCTACACAAGCATAACATATATAATGTTTGACATCATCCTCGAGTACATCATCCTCCTCAGCTGCCTTCTTCAGTTTGAAGCCCGCAGGGAACGGTGTCATCACAGTGCGACCCCTAGTTACACCATAGCGCTCCATGACACCAGAGATGTAGTGTGACTGATGCACCATTAGCCACCTCCTCTCAACATCCCTCTCAATCTGCAGCCCCAAGTAGTAATGGACATCCCCCAGCATCTTGCACTTGAAGTTGTCCATCAGCAGCTTCTGTGTCCTCTCAATCTGCTCCACGGAGGGTGAGAACAGCAGTATGTCATCGACATAAACCAGCAGCAAGAGCAGCTGCTCCCCCTCTCCAAGCAGAAACAAACAGTGATCCGCCTGGGATGTCTTGAAGCCTCCACTCAGCAGCACCTCCTCCAGCTTCTCGTATCAACACCTGGGCGCTTGCTTAAGGCCATAGATGGCCTTCTTAAGCTTGCACACCCGGCTGGACCCATCCTCATAGCCGTCGGGCTGTGCCATGTGGATATCCTCCAGCAGTATTCCATTGAGGAACGCAGTGGTGATATCCATCTGCTTCACGTGCCATCCCTTCACAGCTGCGCCAGCCATCAAAGTCCTCAGTGTTGCTAGCTTAGCAACAGGAGCGAAGATCTCTCCAAAGTCGACCTTCTCTTTCTGCTGAAACCCCTTGGCGACCAAGCGGCTCTTGAACCGCTCCAACGCACCATCAGCTCCACTCTTCACCTTGAAGACCCACTTGCTGCTGATCGGCCGTCGCCCTTCGGGTAACTCAACAAGCTCCCAAGTCCCATTCTCAATGAGACTTTTGAACTCCGCATCCATGGCAGCCTTCCATTCCTCCTTGTGGGGTCCACTCAGTGCCTCCTCCATTGTGGCTGATTCTCCAGGCAAGGGTGTGAAGAAACAGAATGCCATCTCCTCATCCTCTCCCACATCCGCCTGAACCGCCATGGCACCTTGCTTGGGTCCTTCCAAACGGCTATACTTCAGCCTTAAGGGTGCTGCTACCACTCTCTTCTCGCGGGTTGCAATCTGCTGCCCATGTGGTGAAGCTCCTCTCTGCACACTCCTCTTGGTGACCTTGGCGTTAGTTGCAGGCTCGGGCTGAGATGGTGAGTCCACACGTGCCGACTCATCCTCCAACCCCTCCTCCGCAGCAGGACCAGAAACTTGCTGCTCACCACCGCCACTGTGGTCACTGGTCAGCTCTGACCCAGGGAGATCCTCAAGGTGCAGCTGAACCTCCTCCACTGCAGACCGCTCAATCTCCTGCAAACGCAAGCCAATCTGCACCTGCTGCTGCTGCTGCCAATCCTTGTACATGACGTCCTCCAAAAACTTGACGTCACGACTGACGAGCGTCCTCTTGCTCTTGGGGTCCCACATCAGCCACCCCTTCGAGTCAGGAGCCATCCCAAGATGGACAGCCCACACAGCAGCAACTTCCAGCTTGTGCCTCTGCTCCTTAGGCACCATCACAAGCCCCATGCAGCCCCATACCCGCAGCATGTCAATGGATGGCTTCTTCCCAAGCCAACGCTCGTACGGCACCCAATGCTTGTCGCCAACACGAGTCAAGACCCTGCTCTTGACCGTGATGACATGGCGAACGGCATCAGGCCAGAACTTGTAGGGCATCCCAGCAGCCCCCAACAAGGTCTTAGCCGCCTCGCCAATGGTCCGGTTGGCACGCTCAGCAATGCCGTTCTGCTGTGGTGTTCCAGGGCAGGTCAGCTGATGTCGGATGCCATTTCTCTTGAGGAACTTGGTGAATTCCGCTCCAAGGAACTCTCCACCTCGGTCGCTCCTCAGCACCTTCACCAGCCGCATCGCTTGCCGCTCCACCATCGGCAACCAATCCTCCTTGATCGCCGCTGCAGCATCGCTCTTCTTGGATAAGGGACGCGCCCACGTGAAACGGCTCCATTCGTCCACCATGGTAAGGAAGTACAGCACTCCCCCAGTCCCCTCAGTCCTCATAGGACCCACCAGGTCCATGTGCACCACCTCCAGCGGCGCCTTCGCTGATCCCTCCGCACGTGGAAACGGGAACCGCGCAAACTTGTTTTGCATGCACGCCTCGCAGCTGCCATAGTGAGCGCCATCTCCTTGCAGTTGCAGCCCATGCACGCACTTCTCCTTATGCATCACCTCCAGTGTTGAAACAGCCACGTGTGCGAGCCGCCGATGCCAAGTCTCCCAATCTGCTTGGCCCGAGGTAGCCGACGCCTTCACCGCCGCGCTTCCTCCAATCAGCTCCTCTCCTTGCACACCTTGCTGCTCCTCCCCGGTGACACTCTCCTCCATAGATGCCGCCGCTGCCGCCTTGCCCGATTTCCGCCAAGGGAGGACCGGGATCTGCCACATCCGCTTGTGGACATCTCCCTTCCACTGCAGGTCCCAAATGAGGCGCTCATCGTTGTAAGCACGATAGCGCTCCGAGCCAATCGTCTCGGTGTTCACACCCGCATCTCCCAACCGGCCGGTAGAAATCAGGTTCGCGCACAAGTCCGGCATCCACAGCACATTCTTCAGCTCCACGAGCTCTCCATCCGCTCCCATGAACTTGGCGCATCCCATGCCCATGACCTTGGCCTTGGCACCCGTCGCGGATGTGACCGTAGAGATAGGTGCGGGCTGAATCTCATCGAGTAGGTCCGCACGAGGAGTCATGTGCCAGGAGCTTCCCGAGTCAATCACCCAATGGGTGAGGGGATGTAGGAGAACGTTGGCAGCCATAGCGAGGTCGGTTGCGCCTTCGTTCACTAAAAAGAAGAACCCGGCCTTCCGCTCCTCAGATTTGCCGCCTTTCTCCTCCTCCTTCTCCTCACCACTAGCTCCCACGACTCCCCCACTCCTCTTGCCACCATGCAGGTTGCTCGATGAAGGCGGGGTCCAATCCTTGGGTCGTTGGTAGCACTTCCGCCAACGATGTCCGCGCTTCTTGCAGTAGAAGCACACCTCCCCTTGACCCCCGCCGCCATCCTCCTTGGGGTTGTCCTTGCTTTTGCCCTTCCACTTCTTCTTGAAGCCACTCTTTCCACCTCCAACTCCATAGCCAGCCCCCTCCTCCGAGCGCTCGACACTCCGCCGCCGCAGGTCCTCCTCTAGGATGCGCGCGCGAATGTAATCCACGCTCCATTGGGGTTGTTGGGAGTTGAGGTTGATAGCTAGGGCAGACCACGATTCCGGCAGCCGTATCACGATCTCCACGCATTGCACGAGCTCCGGGTACACCACACCGCCTCCTTGGAGCTTCGTGAAGATGTCCCTTATCTCATCCAACACCGGTTGCATCGGCTCTCCATCAACGAACTTGATGTTGCGCAGCCGCCGCGCAAGTAGTACGATGCCGATAGCATGTGTCGGTGAGTGCACATCCAGAAGCTTCCTCCAAGCCTTGGAGCCACACTCTGGATCACCCAAGAGGTCCTTGAAGTGGTCAAGTTGTCGTCCGCCAACCGCTTGCAGCATGAGCATGTACGCATCGAACGATCGCTTCATCCACGCTCCTTTCAGCTCCGCGGCCTCCGGCATCTTCTCCTTCCCCTCCACCAGATCCAATAGCTTGTATTGGGTGTACATCAGCCTCATGCGGAAGCTCCAGTGCTCGTAGTCCTCCCCCATAAATTTCTCAAAAGAGAACGCCTTCACGGGATCCACGGTTGTTTGAGATGGTGTAGTAGACGTAGGTAGCGTAGGGCTGGCTGGTTGGTGAGTCCCCACTCCTCCACCAGCAACTCCCCCCTGCTCTCCAGCCTCTCTACTTCTATCTATCTCGACACTAGCACCTCCGGAGTTCGTACCAACCATATTGAGGCCTTATGAACGGTAAAAACTTGAGAAATCGTTTGGAGAGAATTCTGCCAGAAATTTTGATTCTACGAAAAACGCTGTCGCGGACTAGATACTTCGAATTAGAACGCGGTTTGACCACCAATCGAAAGATTTGCAAGCAGAGCTACTAGAAACTGGTCTCACTCGACATCATTGGTTGAGAATTCACGACGATTCGTCGTCTCGAAGTCGACTACCCGCTCTGATACCACTTGTTGTTCAGGATCCGTCACTTTGAGAACTTATGACGAACTCATTACTCAACTAAACGCAAATCTGCTCGGTAAGAACAAGAGCCTAGCATGTGTAAAATTGCCAGAACAAGGGCCTAGCGTGTGCAAAATTGGAAGAACAAGGGCCTACCGTGTGCAAAATTGGAAGAACAAGGGCCTAATGTGTGCAAAATTTCAAGAACAAGGGCCTAGCGTGTGCAAAATTGGAAGAACAAGGGCCTAATGTGTGCAAAATTGGAAGAACAAGTGCCTAGCATGTGCAAAGTTGCAACAACAAGGGCCTAGCGTGTGCAAAATTGGCAGAACAAGGGCCTAGCGTGTGCAGAGTAGCAAGAACAGGGGACTAGCGTGTGCAAAATTAGAAGATTAAGAGCCTAGCTTGTGCA